ACACAGACTGCGTCATAAAATGTCTTCAAACACATGACATTCAAGTGAAATTCTTCTATTCTTCTACTTCGAGGTTGGAACCTTTCAAAAATCAGACCAGCGTGGCCCCAAATTCAGCTTTTCGGATTCGACAGTCAACCAAGCGCAGTACTGGTGCAGATACATGTAGAGGCGAACCCAAAGTGGACTCCGGGAGGAAGGGGGCACGAGTGCTGAGGGCTCGTGGGATGGGGAGAGGGAAGGTATGGGAGTGGGGAGGAGAGCTCTCTCCTATCCTGTAACTATGCAAAAACTAGGAATAGAGTTGTAACACTGCTACTTAGAGTTGCTTTAGGCTCTAGATTACTTCAGTTTTAGTTTTAGACCCGGACATTCACAGCACTGATGACTGTGTCGCTGAAAAACCTATCGCCCCCTGCCCCTCCCTCTCCCCCGTGGATCTGCCTGTAGATACACGTCCACATATGTATGTAGGAACGATGCACTGCCGGTTTCTTTGAAAGAGTATAAAAACAAAAAATTGAGTTATTTCTATGTAAATGTATTCCGGGTGGACCTAGAGGTTCCATAAAAAACAAGCAGTGCTCATCAGTGACCTGAGTGACAAGCCAACCAATAAGTCCAAAAAGACAGGGTTTCGCTACCCAACAAGTACTGCATGACAAAACATGGCTGTGGCGCCATTTATTCAAAGTATATGTGCAAAAATTTCATGGAATTACCCTCTCTTTGACAAGCAAATCCACAAATTTCTCCTCAAACAGCTTCTTGCGAATATGCAGCAAATTTTGACAGGTGACAAACGGTGCCATTTTGTCGGCAATACTTAACGCATGGTCCCATTCACCAGCTAATACGTACTCGCGAAGGCGCACCGCTAAACTATCCTCCAAACGGCAACCGCTCTCAGCAAACAGCGTAGCAACCGTTTCCCTGCAAATCAACAGCTGATCGCAATCCAGCGTACGGCCCGCAGCAAAAGCAGTGCACCTGGTACATACACGCACACACATACGTAAAGGTAGAGGGTACCATTAAGCGCATGAATGCATAAATCTACATTCTCGCAGCAAAAGCTACAAAAGCACTATATTGTGGTATAGCAGCGGTTAAAAAGATGGCGTAGCTGGGCTAAGTCTACAAGAAAGCCATCGTAATTTTGTTGGGCCAAATCCATCGGGTGTCTCCGTTCGGTACACCCCTATTATCGCGAGGTTTTTTTTTACGTTTCAGCACAAACCAGCCAATGATGAGAAGCGATATTCATTCTGCTGATAACAGCACCAAAAAATAACCTTCAACTTTGATTCTTTCGCAAGATTTGCACAATCACAGCTATAGTGAGGCACATAAAAGGGGTAAGCTGTAGCAATTTTGCAACTGCGCGCTTCTGCACAAATTTTTTTTTTGCTTTAGGCCCCCTTTTTTGGTTTCGATTTTATTTCTGCGCCCAGGCTTGTTTTAATTTGCTTTTACTAGTAGTGCTTTGTTTTCTCTTTCTCTTTACTGCTTACTTATGCTGCAGAGAAGCGGAAAAAGTGCTTATCAAAATAATGCCGGGACGTACTCCAAGCCAAGATCTTTGAGGTACTGGCCGATGATGCGAATTGTGTTAATTTGTGTGGCGCCCAATGCGTGAGCGGACGAAGCAGCAGCAGCGGCAGCAGCAGCGATGTTTGTGTCGACGCCATCCGGTGAGCAGCAGAGCAAATTACCGCGTGATGTTTCCAGGGCATCCTGAAAAAAGAAAATGCACAAACTGAGGAAGAAAATGATACGAAAGAACCGATGAATCGCTTAACAAAAAAAAAAAAAATGCATACTCACTTTTTCGTGTTGGTTTTCAACAACAAGATTTAAAGATTAAAAAAAAAGTGCGCCAAGGAAAAAATGCGTAAAAAAGGTACAGGCTAAAAATCAACCTTGATACGTTGTCCAACAGATTTCTGCATAGGATGCTGCACCTGAACAGCGACCGTTTGCATGTTCCTGGAAATACTAAAATATATGTTACTGGCTAAGATGCCGGAAGACTAATTAAGTGAACTAAGGTTTTTTTCTGGAGGCCTACCGTGTTGGAATAGATCTGACGATGTCAACGAGCTTCCACAATAGTCAACGATTCGAACGCTTACGCCGTTTTCTACATCCCCTCCCCCCCTTCTTCTGGGAACAGTTGTGACGTAGAACGTCAGGAAAATGGGGAAAATGTTACCTGGCTTTCTTGGCTGGTGGACCTTCCTCTTCGACAGCGGCGTCAGCCAGCGAATGATCCACACCACGCTCCACAGTGTCCGACAAAGAGGACAAAGGCCTCCAGCGATCTCTCTGAATTTCACCCCCAATCAACTTTTTTTTTAAAAAAAAAGTACCAGACGGAAATTTTCATTTCAGCTCCTAAAGATAAATTTTTACTGAAAAAAATAATGACGCAGCACCAGTGAT